CTAAGCAGTAACTCTTTATACTCTTGTTGACCTGGCAAAGAACAGAATGGCTCCATTGCACCAAGTAGGATATATATCCGACACTCAGAGAAAATTGATCACTTTCTCCTAGTAAATAATAATACATTTGAGTTGCAAGTGGCCTTAGAGATAATGGCCAGCCACAGCATTTTAACATAGCTAGGATCAAAATGTAAGGGCTCTGGACTCCTGATCCAGTGCTCCTTCACAATGGATAGAGTCTCCTCATGTCCTTCATCGTCCCTGTTAAAGCTAAGCTAGAAGGCCGGAGAATGCTGGGGTCCAACAACCAAGTTTTGTTTTTATCCAGATGCTTTGGCCTTATAGGCAAAGCCTTTCTTGATCTAGGAAGCCATCCAAAAATCTGGAGAAAATTAGATAGTTATTCTAAAATTAAAGTTACTGTAAGAATGACAGGAAAGAAACCAAAAAAATGTAAGTTGTGAACAATTCTTATATACATGGTATGAATGATGGTCCAAGTTGATACAAATTAAGACATATAAGTGGTTTGGGGCACATTTACATCAATTAATATACATTAAAATATACTATATGGTTCAGGGATTATTTGTATCAATTAATACACCTCAAAATATATTAGGTGATTCATGGGTTATTCACATATACCTACTCTTTAAGTGTTGAGTGTTTTAATGACTCCAATATATCTAAAAAGTCATAACCAAATAGAAGCCAATCCTCATGTTTGCATACTAAAACAACCAAGCCACGCTTGCTACAATGTAACAATAAAAGCATCGTCATCGGGAGCCATGATTATTGGAGATTTCCTAAAGTGTCTGACATGAAGCCAAAAGATCTAGGTTCAAGGTTTGCTTGGCTTCTTTCTAGCTTTGTGACTTTGGGCAAATCACTTGTCCTTCCCAGTGCACTGCCTGAAACAGAGTAGACCAGACATGTAGTTATTGGTTCTCAGACCCTCAGTCTTTCCACCTGATAATGAGGGGTTGTTAGTTATGAGCTAGGTCTCTTTAGTACCCCTTGGGTGTCCTTGCTGTGAATTAAATAGTAAATCAGATACTGTCACCCCCCTCCCCCACTTAAAACTCTAGAACTGCTCTGTCCAATATGATAGCCACTGGCCACAAATGACTACTAAGCATTTGTAATGTGTTTGATCTCAAGAGAGGTGTACTGCAAGTGTAAAGCACACACCATATTTCAAAGAGATAACACCAAAAAAAGAATGTAAAACATCTCAATAATGCTGTATATCAATCACACATAGAAATGACAACATTTGAGATATATTGGGTTAACTAAAATATATTATAAATAGTTCATCTGTTTCCTTTTACTTTTTCTAATGTGGCTATTAGAAATTTTTATATGACATATTTGGCACACCTTATGTCTCAGCTGGAAAGTAGTCATCTATAATTCCCCACTGTTGTCAAAAAAGAACTTAGCCTCCATAGAAGGGTCCAATGTGATCCAGTCACTGCCTACTCCTCGGGTCCCCTTATGCATTCTCCCTGTCCTTACTTACCCTCCAGCCACAGGAACCTATGATCCCTCAGAGATAGAAAGCCTGTACCCACCTTAGGGTCTTTGCACTCATGACTCCATCCTTCTGAAATGTTCTTTCCATGGCGACTCTATTCATAGCGGACTCATTCTTCTCCTTCAGGTCTCAGCTCACATGACCCCTTCAGTCAGGCCTTTACTGGATCACCTAATGTGAATGGAATATTATGGAATCTCTCCTCCATACTCCTCCAAGGCACTCACTGCCATCCTCAATTACCTTATCTAATTACCTGTTCCCCTGTTTAATGCCTGTCTCCCTCCACTAGAATAGAAGCTGTGTGAGGGCAGGAACCTTTCCTGTCTTATTCATGGTCTGTCATATCCTCAGCTCAGGGCTTCCTAACCCACTGTAGTTCTCAGTTCAATGTTTGTTGAATGAGTGAATGAATGAATGAATGAATGAACAAATAATGAAAAGGGCATGAGACACAGAGTCAAAAATCCCAATTAGGACAAACCCACTGATAATGACAATAACAACAATACCATCTTCCTTCAAGTGCGTACTTTTTTCCCTGTAGTCAATCCCTAAGATTTGTTTGGTAGGTAGCGTGGTATAGTTGAAAGGACACAGTTTCGAGTTAGAAGTCCTGAGTTTGAATTTTAGCTCTGCCACTTACTGGCTGTGTGACCCTGGATAGAGCCCTTGACTGTCCCAAATCTCCACTTTCTCCCAGAAAAATAATTAGAATTATTATGGAATAATTAGAATTATTCTGTGATTGTCCTGTAGTTCAAGTTAAGAGAAGAGATTTATCAACTGGAGAGCCCCAGTGACATTTATTAGACCAAGACATTCTTGAAGGGGAAGGATTCTTTTATTTACCTGGGGTGTACCCAGCACCCAGCTGGCTTGGCTAAGGCAGGTGCCCCAAAACTACTTGGTGGATGAATGAAGCTTCTAATAAGCCCTAGCACTACAAAGCCATGAGCCTTGGGAAAATCAGATCTCTCACTGTTCCAACCTAGAAAAGGGAGTCCATTTTCTTCCAAAGAGAAGCAAAAGGATCTCAGTGCTAGAATGAGGCTAAAATATAATGGCCACATCTCTTCCATTTTCCAGAATGTCCCAAATTATAATAGTCTGTCTAGCTGTCCAGCCAGGATTCTGACTATAGGTCCCCTGGAACATCTGGCTCAAGAGCAGTGTTCAGAGTCAGAGTGAGCATCTTTAGCCACGGAAAGAGTAAGTACTAGCAGGGACTGGGGGTCACCCTTCCGGCCACAACAGGTAATTCTCCAGAAAAAAGAGACTGGGCCACTCCAAGCAGTAGCTCCTGATTCTCACATTCTGAGAAAGAGCCACAATATCTGCCTCCTTAACTGACACAGGGGCCAAGGGTAAAAATAAGGAGGGGAAGGGGGTCATGAGTTTGGAGCTATTCAGTGTTAAAGTTAGTAAAATTGGAATTATTCCATGGAACAATAATTTCTCAAGACGGGGCAAGAAGGGTGGCTGGGAAGGGAGTGAGAAATGACTTCACTGGGAAGGCTTCTGCCCAATTTGCAAGGGATAAAGCATGTCTTTGTTATTCTCCTGGCTTCTGTTCCTATAACTCTGGAATATAAAGGCTTCTGGCATGACATCCCAGTTCAGCACTATTGTTCCTAGGATTTGCTACTGAATGGGCTATTCACATGGAAACCTCTTCAGGCCAGGCTTCTGTTGGCCACCATTTATTTACACACTGGTTTAATGTGCAGCCCACCTTGGATGTTTGGGCAAAAGAGACCAAGGTGCAGCACTGCACCATCTCTTCCTAAGTCCTGCCTGCCTGCTCACTACTGATTAAAAGCCAGAACTCAGCCTGCATTCATTCAACACACATGTTCCGAGTGTCTATCACATGCTAGGTGTTGGGGCTACAGCTGGGAGCAAGCAAAACAAACATCGATTATAGCAGATCCATGAGAGAAGAAAAGGGGAATCACACACAGAAGGCCCTTTCCAGGAATGTAAAAAAGGAATCATAATTTGGGATCATTGGTCAAGATTTGGGATGGGTGGGGATGATGATGTGTTAAGAACCAAAACTCAGGAGGCTTTAAAAAGGAAAGTACCTCCAATTAGAGAGAAAGCCCTAGAATGTGACCTGCAGTCCACCGCCAAATCAGTCATATGAAATACTTTGAGACCCCCCTCCCCTTCAGTCTCCCTGCAACTTCGTTTTATGGTAGCCCACCTGAGCCCTAGTTTCTGGCAGGGGGTACTGCCAGCGTGAGTTACAGGACTGAATACCTCGTAACAGAGCAGTATTCTCCCCAGCGTAAAAAAGGGCTGGGGTGTAGTCCTCTGTCCGGGTAGGGAAGAAAACGCCTCTGGGACCCCAGGTCTGTGGAACCCGCTCAGTAGAAATGTGGATTTATAGGCACACAACATGGCATAGTGAGGGAAGACCTTGTCCATATCGACTTGTTATGTTAGATGTTGCCAAACACTTCACCCCAAGGATGTGAGAAATCCACAGATAGAAACTTGCTTTTCCAGATCTCAACAGCCCAATTTATGGAGTTTAACTAGAATTTCCTAGTTTATGGCTTCTTGTCATCCTGTGCCCCTTCTCCCCTGGTAAGTTCTCACTCTCACTAACTCAGATTTAAAGCCTTGCCAAAGAGTTCAACTTTGGACCAGTTACCCTCTCTGAGCCTATGCCCTCATCTACCAAATGCAAGTGATAATCACCATCATCATCATCATCATCACCACGGTAATAACATCCAAGGTAATTCTGAAACTAGAAAGATGTACATCTCAGTGCTTATAAAATCAGGACTGTATTCTCCACGCTGAATTGGGAGGATTTACACAAAGCAAGTTATGAAAGGCAGATTAATAATTTACAAATATTAATTAAGAAAAAATCCTGACTTACTGGGCTCTCACCTCCTGTGTGGTGATAGGAGGACTTGCCCCGTTTTGGGAAAGTTAGCGGGCCGAGTCAGTGCGGCTGCACACCACCTGCCTCCCCCCGTCGCCCCGCACCCCCCTAGGACAAGGCAGAAAGGGTGGGAAGGGGAACACGGCTCAGCATTTATTTTTGGACCCAGCTCACTAAAAATACCTCAGCCTTCCTGTTTGATCACTCTCCCTTCTGACCTGAATGGATCGCGGGGGCGCAGCGGTCCTCCCCACCCTCTGCCCGTTGTCCTTTAAAGGAGAAGGGCGTGGGGACGGATTCCTGCCGCTCGGCTCGAGGGACAGATTTGAGCCGCCAGGGCAGGCAGGGGCCGCGGCCGCACTGACGTCAGGGCAGCGCTCGCGCCGCCGCAGCCGCCGGGCCCGGCCCAGGCCGCCCGGGGGGAGGGGGGGAGCCGCGCGCTGCCATTGGCTGACCGAGTGCGAGCGCCCGCGAGGATTGGCTGGCGCGGTTTTAGAGGGAGTCCCGCTCTCCAATTAAAGGACCCCGCGGCGCCGGGCTGCGCGCAGAGCTCCCCCTGGGCCCGCGAACTTGGCCGTTCAGCCAGCGCTGTCCCCGCTGCGCGCCCTCGCGCCTCTGCCCGAGAAGCCAGGCGCTGTTCCTGCACCACAGAAGATGGCAAAGGTGGCTAAGGACCTCAAGCAAGGAGTTCAAAAGGTGAGCTGCGATCTGTCTGTACTTACCCACATTCTTCCTTTTCCCCGTGTCCCTCCCCCAGGTTGCGCGGAGACTTACCTCAACATAAGGAGCAGGAAACCCATTAAATTCCAAGACTTCCCAGAAACAGAACAGTTGGGGATACATATTTGAACTAACAGGCACACCCCCCCAAAAAAAACTTACTCTTAAAAGCCATTGTGTAAAGTATTTGCAAAGAAACTTCTTCGATGATGCTAATTAAAATTTAAATAAAGTAAAACTTTTTTTTTTTTAATAGTAATCCTATTGTCTGTAGGGGGGAAAAAAAAACCTCCCTTCCCCCCCTTCCCCCTCCCAGGATTGAGGTGAAGGTTGGGGGGAGGGTAATATTTACTCATAAGGAATCTCCCCTCTTGCTGTCATCCTAGTGTTTTGTTTTTCACACACACGCACCAGTTTTTTTAGTTGGTGATGTTGGCAATGGCAGCAGTTCCAGCACTTGGGAACTAATTTCTGTCCCCAGGGTCTGCACGTTTCCCTTTTAGGAAGGGCTGGCCAGGAGCCCACAAGGTCACGGGTGAATTACTGCAGGAGGGGCCTGCAGCTGTGCCTGTAGCGCCAACACCCACCAGCTACTTACCTGGATGTAGTTGGGAGAGGGCACAGGCCAGGCTTAGAGGACAAGTGAGCTGGAAGGGAGCAGAGACACAGTCTAAGCCAATGGAGAACTGAAGCCCAGGGTTATAGAGCGTTGGTTCCAGCAGGTATCAGAGCATAAGGAAAGCCTTAGGCACCGAAACCCTGGCCCTGCCACTTTTTAGCTGCGCTGTTTTGACCAATTCACTTTTCTGTGCCTCCAGTTCCTTGTCTCCAGTTTTGGGGATGAGAGACCCCGCTTCTCTCCCAGCAGCAGTAACAAGCAGTAGTACCCTGTGGGTTAATCTCCCAAAGCAGTCATTTTTAAACCCTTGCAGGGCTAAGTCCTCTTTAGACCTCTGCCATTACTTGTGGAGTAGACTAAGAGGCAAAAAAAAAAAAAAAAAAAAGGAAGGAAGGAAAGGAGGAAGGAAAGGAGGGAGTAGGGAAGAAGGGAGGAAGGAAGGAAGAAAACAAAAACCCCAAACATATGTCAGAATCAAAGTAAAAATGCAAGCCACATGACTTAGAGGCACAGAGTTCATGCATCTGATTTATAGCTGCACCATTACATAGCTGACCTTCCCCAGACTCCCACACAGAGTCCAGTGGACCCTTCTGAATGTGTACACCAAGTCAGACTTAATCAGTGCATCTCTCTGGAATGTACCATGTCCCATCACATTTGCCAGACTATTTGGAGAATCAAGTCCCTCTCTCCTTCTATGGAATTCTAACACTTTAGACTTTGGTATGCTACCTGTTAATGTCTACCTAGTAGCAAGTCATGCATGCACCACTTTTATTTCTTTACACATCTTCCTAAACTCCTTGAAGACAAACCTTTCTGGTTCATCTCTGTTCCAACACAGCATACCATACACAGCAGGACTCAATAAACTACCAGTGAACCACTGAGTATCTGTCCAGCTAAGACCATAGTGTTCGCGGACAGTACATTTTGTACATGAATGTTTTTTAACTTGTAGCACCGGGATATTTGTGTGTCTGAACTGCCTCCCCAAATTCAGCTGAGGTGAAAGAGTTTAGAGCTAAAGGGGCAGAGCCCCATGGTCCTCTAGAAAGTCAGATGATTTGGGTGTGGTTTTACTACAAGCTGACTGATAATGTGTGAAGTAAGACCCAGTACATGGAAACCGTCCTCTTTGCTGAGGGCCAAAGCCACCACTTGGAGGAAGCCTTGTTTTTATTTTCCTTTGCGTCGGAGAGTGTGATTATCCGGATTAGAGGTGGAACACGTTCCCCTTCTTGTCACCCTCTAGTGCCAACTTCCTTGGCCTGCAAAGGGTTTATTTTCCATTTAGATCCAATTACAGGCTTAGAGAAAGAATGTGGTGGGTAGAGATGAAAGGGTGGACTTTTTTTTTTTTTTTTAACTTCTTGGGACTGTGGCAATGAGGAGGACAATCAACACTATGTAGATTAACCAATGTCTTCAACTCAAAAAGTCAAGGGAAGGGAAGGGAGTGGGGGAGAAACTCTCCTTGCTGAACGTTATAATAGTGATTAAACACCGTGTCATACCAACAGCATGCTGAAAAGCTTTTATTGCATATTTACCCTTTAAATCTGCAGCAGTGGGGGGTTTTATAACATTTGGCTTCAGGATGCATAATCACACTTAGGCGTTTTGAAACGATTTCATAAGACTCTTGGAGCTGTAAGGGACCTATTTACAAAATGAGAAATGGTTTAAAATGGCATACAAACTGTCTCTACTGCCCTAACCCCAAGGGGAGGTGGGGTATGAGGAATCCCTAGCAGCTGGAAAGTCATGAAAAGGTCTTCAGGAGAACATAACATCCAAAACCTGGAGTAGCCTTAGAGATTGTCTAACCAGTCCCAGACGAACTGAGTGGCTCACCGTGGATCACATACCTAGTTAGTGGCAGAGCTTAGAAATCAGTTACCTGCCTCCTCTCATCTGTGCTAAATTAAATGCTCCCAAGGGCCGCTCTTGAGCCGTCATTTGTTTTTCTACTGGGAAAGAGAAGGTTTCCTAGCATAGAGAGTTCCCTGAGAATAGTCAGCATTCCTTGGTAATAAAGGGCTTTGAAGGCCAAATGCCATTTCTTTTGGTGGAATCAACCACTACTGCGGATTTGTTCTTCTATTGTTTATTAAGGGTATTTAAGAATACCGGTACTACTATTCTCGTAACCAGATCGAGGTTCATGCCCCAGCTCTAACGCTTACTACCACTTACAGCTAGTAGTACACAAGTACACATCCTCTTGTGTACTATCTAATTAATTTCTGAGTCTGTGTCCTTATCTGAAAATTGGAGACAGAGTAGCAGCATCTACCTCTCAAGGCATCTGTTATCATTAAATGACATAATGTATACAAAGGCTCAGCCCAGAAGGTCTCAAATAGAGTTAGTTATTATTATTGGTGGCAATGGTATATTTTGATGGGTGTGTGAATGCTGAAAGGAGTCTTTTGGTGAATGAGGGACATACTTTTCTTTATGACTATCCCGTCTGAAGAGCAGCTAATCCAAAGCGAGTTGCTCAGTCTCAATAAGCTGAATGTTGATCTCATCTTCATTCCACCCCAACAGATACAAAATCTGCTTACATGGAACAGAGATTACCATCATTTCACTCTGGAGTCATAGAATTTTAGGCCTGGAAGGGGACAGGGGGCTCTTTTCATTTTTTAGGCAAGGAAACTGAGGCCCAGAGGGGTCAAGCTGCTTATCTGAGATTGCTAAGATGTGCTGAAGCCGATTTAGGTTCTGCAACAATACAGTCCCGCTGGCTGCCAAGGAGCCACTTGCAGGAATTTAGAAAGGACCAGGACAAAGAGATCTAAGAGCAGTTCACTATGGACTGTGCATGAGCCAGTGGACTGGCTCCAAAGGGTTCTCTTTTTCACCCCTCAACGCAATGTCAAAGGAGCATTAAATGATGGTTCTAAGTGCATTGCCAGGTTCAGCTGGGCGTCTCCCCACACCCTTGTCTGCATCCCCTCCCTCTTGGCTTTCCTGTCCTCCAGCTTCATCCTCCCCTCTGTCCTCAGCCCTTCCTGCTTTCACCTCCAGTTCCTGCAGCGTGCAACACGGCTGGCACGCTGCCTGAGTGAGCCGATCCAATGTAAACACGGCTCCTCGAGAATTGTCGTTGGCTCCCTCAATCTTAAAAATATATTAAGCTGTCACTTAAAGACCGTAATAGCCAAGGCACTGGAGACATGCCCATAGGTGTATAAGCAAGTTGGCCCAAAAGAGAGGCTTATTTTAGAAGAAAGAAAGAAATTATCCAAGTCCTTCTTAAAGGATCTCCGAAAACAGATGCTGAAGCCATTACTTTGTACGTTGCAGATGCTTGTCGTATTGTGCCGACGTGTGTGATTATGTGGGGTGGGGGGCTGATGATTGACTTTCACCAGTGCATCTACCACCTGGGGTGATGGGAGGCAGAGAAAGGCTTAATCACAGACCATCTCTAGGCTTTACTCTCAGCCATCTAGGCTCCAAAACCTTCTCCTAGCCATTCTATAAGCAGAACAGTGGGAAAAGGACTTTGGTATTCCCCGCTGAAGGGCCTGTAGTTTGATCTTCTCTCCATATTAATTGGCCAAAGGTAATAAAGAAGAAAAAGAATAAGCTGAGTCCAGCAAAAGCTGGGGGCCAGGAAGGAGGGACATTGACACAGGCTCACATGTGTATCATTCTTTCCCACCCCCATGCCCACCACTTCTGGTGAGGATAAGGTAAGGAGCAGAAAAGTGAGGGATAATTCCTCCAGCAACCCACTGTGGGGTCATCGGGGCTCCAGAAGAGGTATTTGATTTGACTTTGACTTTGGAAAGAATCATTATTTTCTTTCCAACTTGCACATTCAAAATAGTGTGTGAATAATAAAGTGGAAATCTGGCATGATGAGTGTAGACCTTGGGCGTTCTTATCTACCCAGTGTTCATCCAACACCATCTAAACATGGATTAGGAGAAAAGTTTTCTGGCAAGGGTTGAGTCATTCTAATAACTGCAGGCATAATTTATCAGGTGACTTTGGACAGGTCGCTCTTCCTAGGAAGTGGCAGACCTTGGTTGAGAACCATTCTTCATTTTCCCTCCAGCCCATTGACCTTTCCTATACACCATGCTATCTCCCAAATAACAAGTGATTCCGGAAAAACAGGCCTAAAACTCTTCCACTCAAAGTAGAATTGTGGGACAGCTTTTCAGGACATCCAGAAGGAAGAGACAACTGTTGTTCTTTAAGTGGCTTCATTTGGAAGTACCCCCCCCCACACACACACACACCCTTTCACTTGCTACCAGGAAGAGAATTTGGCTGGCAGCTGCCATGATCTTGCCAAGTACAGGGCCACCAACCGATTCTACAGGGGTCC